AAGCTAAAGACTGGTTAACGGTATTTAACACAAGTTGGCCATGTTGAAAAAACCATAAGCTAAAGACTGGTTAACGGTATTTAACACAAGTTGGCCATGTTGAAAGACCATAAGCTAAAGAGTGGTTAAAATTATCTACACAAGTTGACCATGTTGAAATACCATAAGCTAAAGATTGGTTAACGTTATCTAACACAAATTGGCCATTTTGTAGGACCATAGGTGAAGACTGGTTAACATTATCTAGCACAAGTTGGCCATGTTGAAAGACCATAGGAGAAGACTGGTTAACATTATCTACACAAGTTGACCATGTTGAAAGACCATAAGCTAAAGACTGGTTAACGTTATCTAGCACAAGTTGGCCATGTTGAAAGACCATAGGTGAAGACTGGTTAACGTTATTTAACACAAGTTGACCATGTTGAAAGATCATAAGCTAAAGAGTGGTTAAAATTATCTACACAAGTTGACCATGTTGAAAGACCATAAGCTAAAGACTGGTTATCGTTATCTACACAAGTTGACCATGTTGAAAGACCATAAGCTAAAGACTGGTTAACATTATCTACACAAGTTGACCATGTTGAAAGACCATAAGCTAAAGACTGGTTAACGTTATTTAACACAAGTTGGCCATGTTGAAAGATCATAAGCTCAAGACTGGTTAACGTTATTTAACACAAGTTGACCATGTTGAAAAGACCATAAGCTAAAGACTGGTTAACGTTATCTAACACAAGTTGGCCATGTTAAAAAGACCATAGGTGAAGACTGGTTAACGTTATCTAACACAAGTTGGCCATGTTGAAAAGACCATAAGCTAAAGACTGGTTAACGGTATCTTGAACAAGTTGGCCATGTTGAAAAGACCATAGGTGAAGACTGGTTAACGTTATCTAACACAAGTTGGCCATGTTGAAAAGACCATAAGCTAAAGACTGGTTAACGGTATCTAACACAAGTTGACCATGTTGAAAAGACCATAAGCTAAAGACTGGTTAACGGTATCT